GAAGAAGGTAACTACATGGAAAATGTATGTGGAATTTGAGAAATGGGAAACATCTGAGGAGCACGTTAATGCACCGTTCTACTTTTGGCATGTGTTTCCGAGAATATGACACTTTGACTAACTTACAGCTGTTTGATAAGGCACATTTTATGAAGTAAGCCAAGTTGGCAGTTACAGGATAAAAGTGGCACAAGTCTTAACATTGCATTTTAAACAGTGTTATGCATGTTAGGATTGCTAACATTAGCCAACATAGCTAATAGCCATACCAGACCAAGAGACGCTGTTGTGACAAAACTCCTGAAAGCATTGCATTAACAGAGGAGCGTTTCATTGCTGATGAAATTAACTTTTGATTTGCAAGGGAAAGAATGTGTTATAGTTCATTTGAAAAGTTATAGTCTGGCCTTAGGCAGTATTCAGAAAGTCAAAGCCCTTAAAAAATGGTTTGACCACAGTTTATCTGGAGAAACCTTTAACACTGGCCATTTCCCTCAAACCAAACGCTATCTGCAGACTTCCTTTATAGCCACGGTACATATTGTCCACTCTCAGATTAAGTCTACCGCATAATTACAAGTGAAAGGCTGCATACTGTGTTGGAGCCTTTAATTGCACTCCACAGATTGTTAGGTATAGTACCTCTCACCAACTTTCTTATTCCTTCACATGTACAAAAGGTAATGTCACATGTTCCACAGTCATTACAGGAGACACGTCCAAAGTGTGAAAAGCCCTCTGGCACTTATACCAGGCCTTATTTTCAGCTCTGCATTGACTGAAAAAGGTGGCATGAATGTTTCAAATAGTCTTTTTGTGGTGTTTGAGAGAGAGAAAGAAATATTTTATAACTTGTTTTTTGATCTGCTTTAGTTTATCTTGCCCTTATCCACCATCTGCTGCAACTCCCACCTTGTCAGTATAAGCAAAACTACAGTATATAGCATTCCCATTGTCTGATTATACAATTGTTCAGCAGTACTTTTGGTTGGTTTTCTCAGAAAAAGGAAAAGTGCATTATATAGCCATGTCGAACTAATGTTAAGGTCAAAACGCTAAGCACTCTATCTGAAAAAACAACCTACTATGCAGTAGAAATCTTGTGACCATCAGCTGTTTTAAGTGTGAGTAACTGAAAACAGTGCACTGATTCAAGACTCCAAAGAAAATTACCAACTGTGCTGTTTATATGTGTCGTAAACAAGCTTGTGACAGCTTGTGTTAAGTGTTGCCTTATCTCAGTTGAAAAATGACAGATAAAATACAGTCGACTTAAGGCAGAGTTCCAGTTTATGAAGGAGACGCAGCATTATTTTACGACTTGAGTGAATATTTATGCCATGGAATCCTCTGAGTTAAAAGATCCCCACATTTTTATTTCTCCTGGGAGTTGTGAAACTATGTTGATAAAAACGTATCTTTCCCTCGCAGAACAACAGTATGTGATATTCTCTTCCTTTTTTTTAAACACCATGGTATCTGTGATGCGGGGTGTTTGGGCGCCTGACTCTGCTGTGCTCCCCTGTTCACTTTCCTGTAACGTATTGATCTTTTTCTGGGATTGTTTATAGGACTGTGTGTCTAAAAGGAGACCTATTGATTTCCTGTTTGGGGGTTCTGCCACAGAAGTGATCTAAGTCTCACCCGTAAAATTAAACACATAATAAAATAAGTCAGCTTAATCATTAATAATGAGTCTCCACGGTGGAAAGATACACTTTTAATTGTAATCTTTAATCGTTGCAGTGTTTTTTGTTCTAGTTTTATGATATCTTTAATGAGCTCTTACTGTACTGAACCTCCAGAATGACTCTTATATGAAACAGCATGTGATTTTTATTGTTAGTTTTGTTAAGCAATAATGGCTGTAACTGCCGATGCTAGCTACCCACGTCTTCTTCTTTTAATCCATACAACTGCATTTGTTATTCACACATAAATCCTATCACTTAAACACAACAACAACGACCAAAGTTTAAAAATGACAGATGGAGTAGTCGACTAGCACATTACATATTATGGCTTTGGACTTTTTATGTTTTGGCCGCCTGTTTAAATTAACTTTTTTAGGATAATTTGCAACTTAATTCCACGTTTACTGTGTTTACACTCATGGCAAGCTTCATCTGTACAGGAATAAACTGCAGACATAAACCTAACAACCACAGCCAAGCCACTATCTGTAATGAGTTCAAACAAGAAAGAGATAATAACAGATGCCGGAGGATGAGCTGGGGTTGGGGTGACGGCCTCGTGAACTGGGTATGAGGCTGGATTTTACCACGCCGTGTAAACATATCTCATTGTGTCCTCCATTTTTATTGTGGGTTTGACACAGATTCTGGCAAGGTGAGACAGATTGATGAAATATGGACGTCTATAAACACCAAAGCCGGGAGTATTGGCGACAAACGAGGTTGGATTTTCAGATCTGATACTTTAAACAATCCCTTTCTCTGACAAATCCTAAAGTATCTCGGCTGTCAGGAATAATAGGAGATCAAATTTGTACTAAGGTTGCCCTCTACATCCCCTGTCTATCCATTCCCCATAACTGTCACTTTCCAGTACAGTAACACATGGTGCTACATGAGGATGAACATCTAGACTTACTTTTTTAATATGAAGAAATCTCTCACTGATATTGTAGAGAGAAAAGGAAATCTGGATGATAATTGTTTTGATATACTACTATAATACATGTTGTAAAAGGTCCAACATGCACTAATTATACAGAACTGCATGTCTACAATTAGTTTTGAACAAGTAGCGGATATGGCATGTTGGTGTTTGCAGAACGCTTGCGACGTTGTGAAATGTTTACAGAGGCAGGCTGTTAAATAAACTGCACAAATTACAGAGGCAATGTAAGCTCATTCAGCAGCGATGATGCAGTCAAGGGCAGCGGTTATTCGTCTCAGGCTGATCTCCTGATAGAACATGATGCCAAATGCAGACATCCCTTTGGCTCACTGCATTTTGCGCTATAGGCAAGAGTTTGATGTTTGGTTGAGAGGACAGGGCAGCAGCAAAGTGGATGCTTGGAGCGCTTCCAGGGATTAAACTCATGAATCTAACAGCAGCCAGTGGTCATCATGACACAAACACTGCATGGGAGGTAAGGCATGCACAGCGTGGGGTCCTTGGCTTTGGAAAAAAAGGGAAACATTGAAACCATAAAACCATAAACGCCTACAGTCTTTTCTTCCATCTTCATATTGCACATGTTATGTGAAATACATTTGTATTAGATGTGACATATGTTTTGTGGCCCATGTCTCGCTAAAGCTGTGTTTTGATGATGCGTCACCTAATGATGAATAAAAGACACATTTTTATTTTTAATTCCTTATTTTTAAGTCTAGTTCATTACTATAGCCATTTTAAAGTACTGTGGAGAGGAGCTAACCGTTTTTTGTCAGCATGATCACAACTTAATTATCCTGTTATCTCGATAAATCATACTTTCTTTACTTGTGATTGTAATTGCATTATCTTATCACCACAAGATAACACTGAACTGCCAACTTTAATTATGTGACTAAATATGGTTCCTGTCAATTACAACTGTTACGAAAAAGAAATCACATGTGAAACTCATGGCTGAACTTCATGTTGTTTAAGACATGTGATTCCTCGTGAAGTATTGAAATCACATGAAATGTGCCTGAGGTCTTCACTTGAAGGTCTTTCCACAAGTGATACATGTGTGTTGTCTGGGATAAATGCACGCTTCTGTAGGAACAACATCTATGCTTATAGCAACACTAGGGGTAACATGTACTGATAAACTGTATGATTTGAATGTTTGCAAACCTCAGTTTAGCACAAAGCTAGCAAAGTCCCATACTAAATGTGCATATTGCAGCATAACTCTTTCTTCTTGAATTCAGATTCAAACAAAGCAAGTTCAACATCATCGAATCATTAGGCATGCAGATGTGTTCCTCAGGCAACGTTAACAGCAATAATTTATTACATGTACCCGTACGAATGAAATATACCAGATTACAGCGTGTAATCTGGTCAAGGCAGGGCACCGGATAAAGCATTTATAAGCTGCATTAGTTTGATTACTCTAAAACCCCAGCGTTTACAGGCTTGGTTCAGTAATCAGATTCCCTCTATACCTTCTCCAAACAGAATCAGACACCATTAACAGCTCCAAACATCAATGCACCATGTAGCACAGATTAATTCACTTGCAAGGTATTGAAGGGTTCACTTGCAAATCACAACTGTAGCACCCATCCTAAAATCAATGCCTGAGAAAGTATCTTCCGCTACAAGGAAGTAACTAAATTGAAATTCAATGTGATGTACTTAATTACTGTAAAATAGGTGCAGACATATCATGGCTGTTTGCACTGCAGTAGTTTTAGCTATGTCTACCTAATAAAGGGGCATCAGTATTTTATTTGGTCCTATAATATAATATAGAAAGTAGTTGCAGTAGTATAAATCATACATGTGTATCACAACAGGAGGAAGGAGAATATGTGGATTTCATGTAGTTCATAGACTTGAAATAGCCTACAGATACATCAGTTTGAAAAATATTATATTATGTGAGAATAACTAGAAAGTGTCCTGTGAATACATTATCATGAGGCATCAGTAGAAACATGGACTAAAACACATGCTACTTTTCCCTGGCATGATGTTGCCGGTGCATTTATGGTTTTACTTCAAACACAGCCTCCCAAATGTAATTAGCCATTGTCCACGATCCACGGCTTCCAGGGTTTTAACGGAAGCAGGGAGTCTAACTGCAGCCTTATGAAATAGCATGTATTGATTGATTCAAACCCACACTCAACCTCTGACATTGCAACTATTAATCAGGGATTATGCAAATGTGAAGAAAGCGGATGCACACAAACACTTGACTCGTATTATTAAACTTGAACATCGCACGGCAGTTGAAACGCAGCCCCACTGGAACACTAATCCCATTCTTCTTCTATCTTCCTTTTGTTTTTGTCGGTCGTGTGATTTTTTTGTTCTCCTCCTCTCCTTATTTTCCTCCCCTTCTCTCTTTTTTTTCTTCCTGCGCCGTGTTCTGCTGGGGACTGGTGAATGGCAGCCAATGGGAGGGTTGAGTCCCCTCAGCCTTTCAGCCTCCCTGACATCCACAGCGAGAAGTGATGCAGCGCGACTGAGACGCGCAGTTGAGGTGGAACAACGGGCAACACAAGCTGCAGTGAACGGATACACTTGGCTCCGAAGCGCGCATTCGCATCCCAGGGAAACAATTCCTTCCTAGAATAAACTTCATTATCAGGTGAGCGGGTCTTTGCTTACAACTTCTGTGCAAAATGTCGCTTTTTTGACTTCTTCTGTAGCGTTTTTGAGTCGGGTTATTATAGGCTGCGAATGACCTATACGCGAAACAGCTCCTTTTAAGATCTCCCCGTGTGTTTATTCTAATGAAATCGCCAGTGGAGCAAAATCCATACTCGTAATTATTGGAATAGCTGCGGGCTTTGCATTTTAAATGAGTTCCAATCGGAAGTTGTATTTACCGAATTTAAAGCGGTGGTCAATGAATTGCAATCAACTTTTTACATGTTGTTAAATGGCTCTGTGCGTAATTCTCCTGCATGTATACCGAGGCGGAACGTGCCCCTCCGGTACAGAGGCGGTGTGTTTGCCCCGCCGCGCAGAAGTGATGCGAGCATGCGGGCCTGGGCTCTAAACGCACCTTTGCCTTATTTTGTCACACATGAAACTTCATTTTGAAAAAAAAATACGCTTAAATCTATCGGTGGATGTTTTTTTGCCCCCCCTCCCTCTCCTCCCTCTCCTCCGATGATCTTGCTGCAGCCAGTAGCAAATCCACGAGATGCCAATCGATGCAGGTGGGACAGCAGGCTCAGATAAAGGCGGATGCCTGTCTATCTGTGGTTGCCTGCATGCCTTTTATTCTGCTTTCTGATCGACTGAAAGGCCTTGATTCTTTTTTGTATGGATGTGAGGGGAACACTCCTGGAGTTTACTCAAGTTTTCTCAAAACAACATGTCCTCTAGCTTACTGACTACAAGATGATATCAGTGATGTGGCTGTGAATATGTAATGGCATTGCTGAATAATGCAGGCAAGGCTATCAAATAATTAACTCGCCTTCTTTACTCAAAAGTTACAGGTATTGACAGAGGAGGATAAAGAGGTGTGGTGGATCTAACAGGACTTATGCAAGCCTGAAAATTGAATTTAGTGCTCGTGAAAAAGTTGTGTCCTTCCTGTTGCCTGCAGATTGCTCCATGGTTGTTATTACGCTGGCTCAATGTAAGCCTGAGGTAATATGCCTGAAGGCGGCCAAGAAGTTGTTTGGGGGTGTTTTCAAGCTATCTGGGGAATATTCCGCAATAATCACTGCTCTGCTCACATACTTTTTGAATAACAAACAAGAGAGAGATTCATGCTGGCTGTGCAAAGGAAAATACATGTGTGAAGAGTATAGGTTAACTACATTGCATTGTCTTCTTTTCTTTTTCTATTGGAACAACTTCCTGCTTGTTTTTTTAAAAAGCAGAGAGCAGCCTGGTGAACAGAGATTGTCTGAACCAGAACAGGTTTTGTGGTCCAGGTTTTTCACACGCTGGTTTGAAGTTCAGAGATGAAAGGGACAGAGTAGAATCTGTGGCTGATCAAAGTCATACAGAAAACACGGCAGGTACTGAATATTTAAAGGCTCTGCAAATACAGTTCCTGTGTGTGTGTGTGTGTGTGTGTGTGTGTGTGTGTGTGTGTGTGTGTGTGTGTGTGTGTGTGTGTGTGTGTGTGTGTGTGTGTGTGTGTGTGTGTGTGTGTGTGTGTGTGTGTGTGTGTGTGTGTGTGTGTGTGTGTGGGGGGGGGGGGGGCAAACAGTAGCCTACAGCAGTGTACTGTATATGTACTTATGGTCAGTATGGGTCAGAGGTGTGTGAGCACTTGGTTTGAAGACATTCAAAGTGCGGAACGGACATGACAGGCAGGGGAATAGACACATAAGAGCCATCTGCATTTCTTAAACCTGAGATAACAAGAGCCACTCCCTCATATTTCACCCCCCCCCCCCCCCGGGTCATGTGCAGCAGCTTAGGGGATACTTCAGAAAAGCTTCAATCTGCCCTGTCTGGCCCTGTGACGTCACGGGATGGCGGGTTTACCCGAAGGCCAGACCACGATGACCGGTGACCCGAGTTGATTACATTATTTGTGCTCCAGATGGGCGACATCATTCTGATGTGTCCTGCTCATAATATTGAGCGTTTCTGGTCCTCTCTTCTGCAGCATCTGGAGCTAATCAAATCATATTCCAGTATACTGCTGGAGCAAACTCTGATCCCCTATGGGAATGCCTACATGCAGCACTTCTCCTCCTCTGTGTGTGTGCTTGGTTACTTGTGGACATTTGTTGAGCCCATATGCACCGCAAGTGGCTCCTAATATGTGTATGTTGCGCTTACAAATGTTTAAAGTCTGTTGCAGAGAGCACCCCTGGGCATTGTAGTTCACTAGATGCACCTTGTTGTATGATGTGATAATAAATCATGACGTTGTTTGTACTGCGAGTGCTAAGGGATTCCTCCTAAGATTTTTCCTGTGCCAAGTATTTATCTGGAGTTGCCAGCCAACAGGGCTTCTCTTTTTTCCTTTTTATTTTCCTTTCTGTCTCTAGAACAATAGCTCTGCTGTATAGGACAGACTTTGCCTGGCCAGTTTGTGAAGAATGACCGTTTTGACTTTTTCCCTCACAGAGACATTGCGTCTATTTCTCGCTGTGTCTTGTGACCATCAGAGCAAATCTCCTGCAGGCACAAAGGCAACTTGATAACTGCTCCTTGTAATGAGACAGATTCCCTTCAGAGATGCCTATTTACAGAGCAGTCACAACCGCAAATTCAAAGAAACCTAAAAGACGTATTTCTCACCCACCAAACCACAGAGGCAGAGACCGTGACGTCTGTTTTTACTTAAATAAACTCTTTGCAGGAGCCGGTGTCACCTTCTCCTGAAGGTCGACCTTAGTCTCAAATTGAATTTGCTACGACAAAAAAAGACGCTAGAATTAGACGGGATACGGTTAAGCCACAGCAAGGATGTTTCTCGACAGGTTTCAGCTCAAGGGATTTGAGAGCTGGACGGAGGCCTGGAGAGTAGAACGTCGCTGTATGTCTGCCTAAATCCCAGAAAAGGCCTGTTTTTCTCACTGTGTGCTGAGAAGATAAATACACATGGATCAGACCATTTGCACCTCACTTAACAATGGGTAATTATCTCTGCATGCTTTGTGCAGGAGAACACCAATTACACAGAGATATACTCATAAATCTATTTTGAAAATGGTAGGACTGGGATATGGTGTGTGTGCGGTGCAACCCGGTATCACGGCAAGACGTGAACATGTGACGATTTACCATGCTGGGAGACGTGAATATGTCACGGTTTTGTCCCTTCAAAACGTGACAGTTACACGGTATTGTTAACCCATGTTAACCAGTGGAGAAATACCCGTGTTCATGGTGTTCACTTACCGCACAACGTAACATACAGTAATTCCACAACCACATAAATTGATTAACATCGATTTAGCTGGGGCAACACAAATAAATTAATTAATGAATCTACTGGTTTCATAATTTGAACCAAAAGTGGTGCATTTTGCACTATTTTTTATTTATCTTTATTTATTTTCTTATTATGTCCTATTTATATTATGTTGCACTGTTGGAGGAGCTCGGGATCTAAGATTTGAAATGCTAAAATTACACTGTAGCTAGCATCTGATAACAAAAACCCTTGACCCTTGAACCTTAGTGGTGTTTATTTTCAGTTGCTAAGCGATCACACAACGTCACGTCCGGTCAGAGGTCGCGTTAACCGAATATTTTCCGTCTATGACGGATTTTTTTTAACAATGACGGACAAATCTGAAAGCAGTCCGTCATTTTGACAGATTAGAACAAACTCGGAACAGCGCCAACGTTTCCCCGCAGCGAGGCTCCGGTATTATGCCGTGTTATGCATGCCCTCCAAAAAGGAAATGATACCGTTTCCAAACCTAACTGTGCCGTACAAATCATTGAAATGTCTGTGAGTTTTGGCTTTACGCTGTGCACGCTCCCGCAAGGTGCAGCAGCCATGCATAACACGGCGCATATGAACTGTCCCCCCCCGTTGACAGTTCACGAGCATGCTTTCCCCCCCCCCCTCGTCAGAGTTGTGTAAAGGCCGACGGGTAATTCTGGATTTTGACGAAAGTTTTACGATCCTGTCCGTCAAAATGACAGCGAAAAAGTCTAGCGCAACCTCTGCGTCCGGTATTTCCACAACAACACAAATGGATTAACATCGTAGCCTTTGTTTCTGCTAAAAGAGGTGTCGACCAGCTAGAGCCACAAGAAAATCGGCGAAATCGAGTGTGACGATTAAAAAATAAATTAAAAACATCTAATTTTGACAATAAAAACCGACCAATAGGCGCGGTAGACCATTTGCTTGGCACTTCCGGGTATTTCTCCATGTTAACAATACCGTGTAACTATCACGTTTGAAGGGGATTAACATCGATGTAATACATGAATGTAGCCTTTGTTTCTGCTGAAAGAGGTGTCGACCAGCTAGAGCCACAAGAAAATCGGCGAAATCGAGTGCGAGGATTACAAAATAAATTAAAAACATCTAATTTTGACAATAAAAACTGACCAATAGGCACGGTAGAGCGTTTGCTTGGCACTTCCGGGTATTTCTCCACTGGTTAACATGGGTTAACAATACTGTGTAACTGTCACGTTTTGAAGGGACAAAACCGTGACATATTCACGTCTCCCAGCATGGTAAATCGTCACATGTTCACGTCTTGCCGTGATACCGGGTTGGTGCGGTGGGAATGTATAGATGAAGCTGATAGTATACAGTGCATACTCAAAGAGTGGCTGTTAAGAGAAGAGTCCGGCTTCATACAGTATGGCACACTAGGATGGATGTGACTATGAAATCACTTAGATTCATGTCTTTGGGGTGGGAGACAGAGTAAATTGCTGCCAATGTTGAATAATGCAGTGTGCCAACAGCTTTTTTCTCTCCCTCTTCCTCCTCAAACTGTGGCTTGGCTCCACAGCTTTTCTAATTATGAAGTGGCTGAGAGATAGCTTCACAACTCCGATACTGTAGTGATGGTGAGGGGAAGCTGGCCGAATAGCAATCTAACTGAATTACCAACAAAGCCTGACAGACTTGTGGAGTTTAGTGAACACATTTGCAAAAAGTAACATCCCTACCTATTCCGTCGCAGAAAT